CCCTTTTCTTTTTATTGGATGAATCTCAAATCCGATGAAGATGAAACATTATATATATATTTTTTGTATACGTTACCTATACGGTGACTGGAAATCTTTTTTTTTTCACATCCAAGTAAAGATAAAATGGAATTTAAAAAAAAGTTTTTTTTTTGCTAATTGACAAAATGAAAATTGTCATTTTGTGCAACCAAAATAATGTATAGTTTGTCGCCCGTTTTTTCGCCACTCTCAAAATTATCTTATAATAATGCAAGAAACTTTCTTCTTATCGATCGATCAGTCGCAGCGAACGAAATACAATTGCTGGTTCCGCGAGGTGTCGCATTGTTAATGTTGCACTCAGAATGCAATTCCAATAGATTGCTTCAGCAAAATGCATTGTGAGATCATACCAAGATGCATAATACAAGTGCATTGTTCGTTTCGTTCAAGGTCTGCAACAGCGTGACGGGTCGCTACGTACTGAATGCGATATAAAAGAGCGGATTTCTGGAGGAAAAAAAGAGAGAAAAAAAAAGTACACAAAAGAGAAGGTAAAATGGTCGAAAGTAAAAACGTTGAGAATGAAAAAGCAATGCACATGAAAAGAGGCGAGAACCGAGGTCTTCCACGAGTTACGCCTTAACGAGAAAGTAGAGTAATGAAAAGTATCTAAGAAAATTTTTTGTTTTCAAACTTTAACGAAGTCGAAACCTGTATTAAATACCGTCAATACTTCAATAAAACATTTTCTGTATAGAATTCAATCCTTTACTGGGTTCGTTAACAAATTACAAGGATCCGCCTGTAAATCGCTTCCGTAACTAATTTCCCTTTACCAATTCCAAATGACAAAAGTCAATGAAGTAGAAGCAGGATAAAAAATTATCCAAATCCCCGAGACCCCCACAGCCAGTATAAGGTAAAAGCACCTACTGCAATTTTGACAAAGTAATGAATGAGTTGACTTAAAAAAAAAAAATACTAAGCAAAAATACGAAGAGAAAGAAAAAAAAATAAAACCAGTAAGAGGAAAAGAAGAATATGAGGAGAAGTAAGGGAGATATCTGTATCCGGGGTCGAAAGGGGTGGGGAGGATACGAAGAAAAAGTGGCGAACCAGCTACCTCGTTATATTTCAAAATGATTGTAACCCGACTTTTCAATTTCTGCGCTTTAATATCTTCTAGCTTGCGGCGCGGGACGTGTGGAAGGGATGAAACGAGGAATGAGAAAAAGAACCGGATGGAGGAACGTGGAATTAAAGACAAGGGGGTTAGAGAAGTTTCAAATCGAGTTATCCACGCGCTTCTTCCACCAATTTCACTCTTCCCCTACTACCGTGCCACCCCCCCCTCTGCTG